AAGTGCACAGTGAACAGGTGACATAAAAGTTTCTGACTGACCCTAGCCTGAGACAAGATGGCGGCTGCCTGGGCCTCCTGTGCAGAGACAACGGGACCCTTATCGCCGCCGCCCTGCCCAAAACGGAACTGCAAAGAAAGGAAGAAAAACAGAAGATATGAAGCAGATCCGTGTGTCGAATCGGAGAAAATATAACTGAACAACAAAAACTAACAAACAGAACCCAAAATGTCTTTGTAAGATGTAGCTGATTGACCAAATTGTTTGGTTGAGCGACCATAATGAAAATTCCATATATCAGTCCGAGTTAAACACAAAACGACTAAATCTAGTGAAAATGCAGAATCACACCCATGATCAAAAGGTACAAGTGACTCACAGGAAGCATGACTGAGGTTCCAGGAGGTCCAGGGACTCCATCAGCCCCAGGCAGACCAGCTTTACCAGGAGGACCCTGCAGGGTGAAGAGGATTGATGAAGCTGACAGAAGTGCAGAAAAAGCTCTAAAATAGCAGTAATTACACATTCCTCAGAACTACTGATGCACAAATCTGCCCTGAATAGAATAAAGAAGAAAATATTACTTACCCTCTCTCCAGGGTCTCCCACAGAACCAGGAGGTCCAGATGATCCAGGTGGTCCAGACGGTCCCTTGAAAAGGAAATGTAGGATTTGTATATTTTTCAGCAGAGTAGAAGTGCAACTTAAAAATACCAGTTCAAATGAGGAAAATCATAAGGTCTAATCATTTTCATAAAGACTAAATAAATATGACGGACTTACTGCAGGCCCTTCAGGCCCTGGGGGACCTTCTATTAACATGCCCTAAAATGGACAAAATAAATAAAACAACTGAGAATTAAAAAAAGAAAGAAAACAGAATGCACCTTGCAGAAATCTAATAATAGGAAATAATTTAAAATATAAACACAATAAAACAGAATACTTCTCAAATATGAGCTGAATAAATAACTGGCCAAAAACCTTGGAGTCTTTCTCCAATTTTAACTTCTAATTATTGGCTCCTTTAAAAACCCAGAATTCATATCTTATGATGGGGTAAAGTTTTCATCATTTAACAAAATCAGACCCTCTAAATAAAAAGCTCAAGAGAATTTGCGACTCACAGGCTCCAAAACAGCAGGTTCTCCCTTTTCTCCTTTCTGGCCTCTAAAGGCGGCCTGAGGGAAAACACAAGTACCCAGGAACATAGTTCTGTCATTATAAACATACTTACACAGGAAACTGCAAAGCAAAACAAAAGTCTAGTTCATTCAAATATACGACAGGCACCAAGAAAATAAACTAAAACGTTTCCTGTATTATAGTAAAAGAACAAATTTACAACCTGTGTTGTTGTGAAAGGCATGAAAGCCTTCCTTCAAACATCATTGACTATTATGTTTTCCACCGAGCGGGTCCATTACTTTTCAACACTTATTGCATGAAAAAGCTTAGCAATAACAATAAAAAGCCATACACTGAGAAAATGACATTATTGACAGTTTTACTTAAAAATGCCTTTTTTTCAGTGTATGTGAGAGCTACTGCTTACATTTATTAGTATTCCCAACAGCTTTTACTTTGGTAACAGCTAAAGCATTATTGTCATTGAAAAAGTCAGTTTCAACCACTAACACACCTTCAAGGTCTTGAATTGCATTCAAATATGTGTTCCTCTTTGACTGATTGAGCTTGCCGTAGAAACAACTGAAATTTAAAGTTGAACATTTTTAGCTTAAAAAACAAATTTTTATTTAGTAAAATTTAACTAGAGCAATATCGTATGGACATCAGGGACAGTTCAACTGGATTGGCAGACCGGGGTGGTGGTCCCTCTATTTAACCCTCCCACTGTCCTAATGGGTAGGACCCCGCGAGGAAAGTTGACCATTGAGCAGGGTTGATGGTTTATCCCTTGGGTCCATATGGCAGGGGTGAGGAGTGAGCACCACCTCACCCCCGTCACGTGGACCTCAAGGGATAAACCATCAATCCTGCCCAATGGTCAACTTTCCTCGCGAGGTCACCCATAAAGACAGTGGGAGGGTTTAAAATGGGGACCGCAGAATGTGTTCCAACTACAGAGGGAGGAGCAATATGGTTTCCATTCTGGCTTTGGAACACTGGACCGGCTCTTTACCCTTAGGGCGTCCTGGAGAGTGTGTGGGAGTTTTCCCAACTAATCTACAAGTGTTTTGTGGATTTGAAGGTGTTCGACCGCATACCTTGGGGGGGCCCTGTGGGGGGTACTTTCGGAGTATGGGGTACAAGGCCCTCTGATACGAGCTGTTAGGTCCCTGCATGACCGGTGTCAGAGCTTGGTACGCATTTCCCACAGTGTCAGGCTCGTTTTCCGTGAGAGTTGGACTCCGCCAAGGCTGCCCTTTGTCACCGATTCTGAAGCTCTTGATTAACTAGTTGATCTACGTTCCTACCCTCATCTATGGTCACAAGCTTTGGGTAGTGACCTAAAGAATGAGACTGCAGATACGAGCGGCCAAAATGAGTTATTTCCACAGTGTCTGGGCTCTCCCATTGAGATAGGGCGAGAAGCTCGGTCATCCGGAAGGGGCTCAGAGGTGTAGACCCGCTGCTCCTCCACATCACGAGTAGCCAGTTGAGGTGGTTTTATAAACTATATCCTTGACTGTTTGAATTAATATGAAGTGTGTGTTCCCTGAAGAGTCAAAGAACCTAAAGGAACGTTAATTCAAAGATCAATCAGATTGATATTTCATATTTTTATGAAACACCACATCTTATTGATCATTTAATAAATACGAAGTCAATCCACACCGCTACAACCTTCTGATAACTGGACAACCCCCTCAACCTCCTGAGCTACTGCTGCTACCTGGACTAAAACATCTGCCAGCTCCTGGACTGTCTGTGGTGCAACGTGGTGTTGGTGGATGGAGCGAGACATGATGTCCTAGATGTGTTCAACTGGACTCGGGTCTGGGAAACGGGCGGAGCAGTCTATAGCATCAATGCCTTGCTCTTGCAGAAACTGCTGACACACTTTAGCCACGGGGTCCAACATTGTCTCACATTAGGAGGAACCCAGGGCCAACCGCATCAGCATGTGGTCTCACGGCAGTCTGACCACCTCTGGTGAGCACAACTCAGGTGTGTTCCCCCGTTTTCTTATTTTAATGCATTTTTAAAGTATTGGATATCGGCAGCCACTCATAATTAAGTGACATGAACAGAAAATGTGTTGGTATCTATGAACATTTTGATAAAATATTAAATAAATGTTCCGACCTTGATGCCACGAGGGCCAGGATAGCCGATGGCTCCTTGAGGACCGTTGGGACCCTGGAGATGATCAGGAAGATGAGTTAAAAGCATAAGACAACTAAAACCACAAAGATCTACTCTAATTATTCTAAATACACACAGAAAAAAGTTTAGGATGAAATAGATTAGGTGGTTTAAATCGACACCTACCTGGTTTCCTTTAGTGCCTGATGGACCCTCCTCTCCTGGGTGACCCTGAGAACAGAAAACGGGGCTCGAGTCTCTGGACAAATAAAAATACATAAAATCATATTTAATATTTTAAAAGGGAAACTTACAGGAGGGCCGTCCGCTCCAGGCATTCCTGGTAAACCCGGTTTTCCAGTGGGACCCTAGAAAGAAGCACAAAGTGGTCATGAGCTTAATCCGAGTACCGTATTTTCCGGACTATAAGCCGCTACTTTTTTCCCACGCTTTGAATCATGCCGCTTAAAATGAGGTGCGGCTTTACTGAAGATTTTCCTTCACCTGCAGGGGGCGCTTTAGCAGAAAGTGAAACAGGTGGAAGTCAAACGTGGAAATCGAAGAAAGTGCTCATTTTAATTTAACACATGCAAGCAGCCGGCACCACGAAGAATTTTTTTCAAATCCATACCCCCTCATCATGGTAACTACACGTATGAGTTCATATGATGCCGCATTTAAGTTGAAGGCCATCGATCTGGCAGTAAAGGAGGGAAACAGTGCTGCCGCACGTAAGCTTGGCATGAATGAATCCACGGTTCGGCGCTGGAGACGGCAGCGGGAAGAACTTATTCAAGCCAGCTTTACCCGGGGATGATGACAGCAACACGGACAGCGACACTGACATCGCCACAGAAAAGGTATGTGACGAAGCTCTTCTGAGGCTGTTCAACTCCGACACTGAAGAAGAGGACTTTAATGGCTTTAGTGCGCAGGAGGAAGATGAGAGTGAATGACTTCTTCTGGTAGGCAAGTGTGTTTTATTTACTAACCAGGCATGTTTTGTGTGCAGTTTGTATTTTCTAATCATCCAGGGCTTATTAATGCTGTGTCAGCGCTGTTCTTTTCTTCTAAACATGCTAATTACGGTAATAACGTGTCAGTGCTGTTTTTATTTTATAACCATCCAGAAATATGAATGCTATCAGTGCTGTTCTCTTTTCTAAACTTGCAGGCACGTTCACCTGTGTTTAAAATTAGTTTTGTTGAATTAAAACAACAACAAAAAACCTCCGTGTAGCGTCTTTCTGTCTAATTATCTCATGTTATGGCCGTACATGCGCTGTGCGCCAGAGACCTGCATGTTGCTGCTGTGCGCTTGTACTTGAGTGCGGCGTGTGTGTGTAGAAAACATTTTTTTTTGTTGGTGCGGCTTATATTGAGGTGCGCTCTATAGTCCAGAAATTACGGTAACTATATAATCCAAGACTAATCCTAATTTCTAGCATTCCCAGACCCAGTGGATATAGAGTCTCACATTCCTTAGTGGATATCAGTATTTCTATTCTTTTTGTGAAACCAGTTTAACATCTATACTGCTGCTGGTTTGTCCAAAATACAAGCTGAAAAATAAGGTTCATGGATATTTTAGATTTTTGTTATTGGGGCCTCTGGTTTATGAAGACAATAGTTAAACATGAGGAAGATCTGGAACTAGCAGCAGGGTCGTTGAGGATTTCACCATTTTAATGTAATTCTAGTATCTAGGACACAAATTCTGGGTTACTTACTTTCTCTCCTGGAGGTCCAATAGCTCCCTGAGGTCCTGGCATTCCCTGCAAAAACAACAAATATAAAACCAATTATGTATTCTTTACTCTAAACGTCGTATGCAAATGCAGAAAAGACACACTGCTCTCCCCAAAGGGGATGCAGCCTGTAAATTACTATAGAGCACACTAGAGAGCTGGGGATTCTTCAGCAACACAGGAACAATAAAACTGCAGAAACGTCGGTCTGTCACATAAAGGCAATGATACCAGTGATGCAGCTTCTTACTCCTAAAAAACATCAAATGGCAGGTAGGTTGTCTCACCTGAGTTCCTGGAGTTCCCTGCTGGCCTGGAGGTCCGGGCTCACCTTGAGGACCCTGAGAGATAAAATAAAAAGTGACTGGAAGGTACAAAAGGAGTAGTAAAATGTATGAAATTACTGGTTGTACAGTTCAGATCCTACTTGTAAATAATCTGATAATTTCATGATGACATGTTAAAGTTGCTTTCCGGAGTTTTCCCGTTTCAGAAATGATGTATAATTTGTCAGAAATCCGTAAAAGTGATTGTCTCATCCTGTGATAAAATGTAAGCGATACATCTTGTTTTTTGTTTTTTTTTGCTAACCACGCCCCCTGCCCTGCAGAGCGCCGTGCAATAGGAAACTGAGCGCCAACCAGAACTAACCAATAGCGTTAGACTACCGCGTACGTGCTTCAAATTTAAGGAATACCTCGGCTGATGCAGAGTTGAGGAACTTTTCACGGACAAGAAAGTCTCTAAAATATAAATATGTGAGACCACAAAGGAGAATAATACTCGTAAAACAACGTGTTTTTGCTGTTTGTCGCTACAGAAGCACATTTATAAACAGAAATGTGAAGTCGCCATCTTAAAAAAACAGGAACAGCGTTCTTGAGTGATATGCTTGTCAGCCACTAGATGGTGCCATCGGATAAGAGAAATACTCCGGAAAGAAGCTTTAACCATTACTGACCAAATTTCCTTTGGGACCATGAGGGCCATCATTTCCTCGTACACCCTGGAAGGAGAGAGAGAGAGCACACAGTAAAAAACATTTGCTGCCCATGTGAACAACTTCCTCACTGGTTTATATCAGAGCACTTTTTTGCAGGTAGAAAGTGAAAATGCCCTTTTTATTCTTTAATCGCAGCAAATCAGACACTGGTGATGAGAAAGTCCATCATTTTGAACATCAATATCTATAAAGTTCTGCTGTATTATTCTGATTCATGAAAACAAGATAAAAACAAAACAAAAAAGTCACACTACACTAAAACAGCTGTTAGATATAAATATATGGCGTAGATGTCAAAAATGGCTGCCAGAATCCTCCCTTCAGCAGAAACTGAAGAACATCACATCCTAATTTCTGGATCAGTAGCTTTCCCGGCCGTCATATCAGGATACAGACTGTTGCTTCAGGCATGGCTGTGGGTGTTGTGTGGTTTACTTACAGGAGGTCCAGAGATTCCTGGAGGACCTTTAGGCCCGAGCAGACCACGGGGTCCCTAAAGACAAAGACAGAAACACATCTAGGGTAAGATAAAACTCAGTAACAGGGAAAACTCAAGGTCTAAAACAATACTCTCAAATTCAACTACCGTATTTTCCGCAGTATAAGTCGCACCAGCCATAAAATGTATAATGAAGAAATAAACATATATAAGTCGCACTATAAGTCGCATTTTGGGGGGAAACTTTATTACTTTTCTTACAAAATCTGAGACCAAGCGTTTCACATTGCAAGACAAGTACCGGTAATAATAACAGAATAAACAATCAGGGCGCAGCAGCGCGCCACGGTCTCCAGCAGAAGATGGCGGTGTTTCAAACCCTCCCAGTGGGTGGGGAGAGCGCCCGCAGTACCCCGCACGCCACAGGCTGCAGCAGGTGATGGCGGTGTTTGAAACCCTCCCAGCGGGGCAGAGGAGCTGAAACCTGGACCGGAGCCGGCCCGCAGCAGCGCGCAACGGTCTCCAGCAGGTGATGGCGGGGCAGGGGAGCTCATTCCTGGTCTGGAGCCGGCCCGCAGCAGCACGGTACACATAATTTGGTACATAAGTCACTTTGGTATATAAGTCGCAGGACCAGCCAGACTATGAAAAAAAGTGCAACTTATAGTCTGGAAAATACGGTATGTGAATAAATTATGTGTAAATATGCACAGCCAATAAAAATCAAAATGAGCTGGTAAATCTCTTTGGTTGCCATGGAAACACTCACGGGTTCACCTGGGAGACCCCTGGGTCCGACGTCTCCATCGTCTCCCTACAAACAGAAACAAGAGTGAATAAATGCTGACAAAACTGATATAAAGTAACACAAAGTAAGATTACTGAAGTATTTTAGATGTTTTTCTGTTTCAGAGCATACCCTCTCTCCATCTTCTCCTTGAGATCCTGGTGGTCCCATTGGTCCCGGGTCACCCTGACAAGATCCAAAGCAGAAGAAATCAGAACACAGAAAACTTCATCTACTTCCAAAAAACCCAAACAGTTATTCAAGCGTCGATGATATCACATGGATACATTACACATTACCAAGAACTTACCCTGTGTCCTTTGTCACCAGGCAAACCAGGAAGACCATCAAAGCCACGATCGCCCTGAGACGAACACACAAACCATAAGGCACAACGACTACACCAAACAGAATAGATAAAAAACACAAATATTTATTATTTAGGGAATAACCTGTGTTTTTATTTGACAAATATGATAACAGAGTGAATACTTTACTTTAGATCCGGGCTCTCCGGGCATTCCCCGAGGCCCATCAGCACCAGCACGACCCTGAGAGCACAAGCAGACAATATTAAAATGTTTTAAAACTTTAAATGTAAAGTTTGTTTTTACCAACTAAAACAACCCAAATAAGATTCTGTATGGTCGTGTTTGCAAAAAAAGATTACAGGACCAAAACGACCTTATAAAAAAAAACACAAAGAGCTATCCTGGACCTCTGAAAAAACACAAGTGTTTGTTATAAACTATAATCACTGTGTTAGCATGTGTAGAATCTGTGATAACAACTAGGGCTGCAACAAACGATTATTTGGATAATCGATTAATCGGATGGGGTCTCGACACGATTAATCGGATTACATAGGGACATTTTTTAAAACTGCTAGGGAAACGTTATTTTTCTCTTTCCTTCACTTTATTAAACACAACATTATTAGAAAACAGTTCAATAGCAGAAAAACAACATGCCATCACCTAAATTGTCTTATAAGGTGTATAGACAGAGACCCTAAGCTACACCTATCTGTGACCTAAAATGCTTGGTCCAAGTTAAACAGCTTAAAGAGCAAGTCAACCCCTACCAGAGTCTAACTCCACTCCCACTTCATGTTTGAAAAATGCAACACATGCTGTTGCCTGGCAGATCGAGAGCGCGGAGCCGCTAACAAATACACACACACTCAGGCTCACGACAGCATTGTGACATCATAATGTACCAGTTTACATAATAGCATACTTCTTAGCCAATAGCGGTGGCTGATTTAAATTAAAATACAGTGCAGAGTTTTTACCTGACAACGGCACAACACTGCCAGTTTTAGGCAGAATATTTACATTTTAACTAAGATGCACTGAAGTGCCAAATTATTGACTACACGTGTCTGCAGCACGATTAGACACTCGTTTATTTAGTTTATCAGCAAAAAAAAAAGTTTATTTGGGGGTGACTTGCTCTTTAAGGGCAATTCTCATCTGTTTTGTTTGATCTCATCTGTAGACATTTATTATAATTGGGGATGTCAAACAACTAATTTTTAAATGTAATTAAACATAGGCTGTGAATTAATCAAAATTAATCACTATTTCCAAAAATGACTGAAAAAAACCCCCAAATAAAACAAAAGTAAATGAATGCCATCCTCCTTGCGATGATGCCCTGGGCAACTGCCATAAAGTCACATCAAGAAATGCTGCTGATCATTCCAATGATCCCAAATAGACTCAAATTAGGCCACATGAAAGCAACTGAACCCAAAAATATATTAACCAGTATATAACTGCACTCTCACACAACACGCCTGCAGCAACAGTTAGGACTCCTCCCTCCCTTTTAAAAGCGTTTTCGCTTCTGAGGACATTGTGAAGCCACATGTTAGTAGTCTGGCCCCGGTGTGATCAACCAGTTTCTGCGGGAATGTGACGGCGGAACCGGTTCGCAGCGGCGCGAGTCCAGTCCGTCCCCCCCCCCCCCCCCCGCCTATCTAATAGCGTCGCGCTTACAATTTTATAGACTTTTTTTAACGAGCTTAGGGCATGTCTAGCCTGTGTAATAATCCGGGGCTTGGGTCAATCACTTTTGAAAAGTTTTTAACTTACCCGGACACCGAGCTCTCGCCTTCCTCGCTGATGATTCTGACATGCTTGCGTTTAAGACGCTGCATCATCACCGTTGTATCCCCGTGCCATGCTAAGTCTGACCTACAAACGTTGCATGTCTTCGCCTGATTTAACTGAAAATGCTCCCAAACTTTAGAAATTTTTACTTTTTGGGGGTCTCGCTGCTTCTGCCATGTTCCTCTTACAAACACCTGCCGGCTCTGCACCGGTCTGCGCGCAACGGCGGGCAGGAGGGGAGGGGGCTTTTGGAAGAGTTGCGCAACACAACGAATCGATGACACAATTCGTTGCCAACGCTTTTAGTAATCGATTTTCATCGAATTTATCGATTCGTTGTTGCAGCCCTAATAACAACAAATACAACAAATAAAAACTAAACAGAAACAAAGTGGCTGTTTCTACTCACTCTTCTTCCTGATTTACCCGGAGGACCCAGCAACCCCTGTGATCCTCTGGGGCCCTAAAAACAAACAAACAAACAAACGTCTGTGATTGGTGGCCGGTATAAATGATCAACACCAGTTTGGAGAAGCGACTGGTTTACCTGAGGACCAGGATCTCCACTTTCTCCCTTCAGCCCAGAGCTTCCTGGACTTCCCTACAACAAATGAAACAATTAATTTGTTGACATCCATATTTAAATGAAAACAATTACATTTGCAACACAAAACAAAATCATAAAAAAATATATGTGTCTGAAATCTTTGGGCCGGCGCAGTTCAATGAAACATAACAATAAAGAGTTCATGAATAATCTGTTGAGTAAAACATTGTTAACAATAAAAAAAAAAAACCTCTTGGTATAAACAACAAAACAAAGGGAAACATACCACAGGTCCAGGGCGCCCGGTGAATCCCATTGGTCCAGGAGGTCCTTTCAGTGCCATCTAAAGAAAGTTACATCTCTAAATCAATAGTGATGATGTGGCTGTTTATCAGGAATCTGTGGCAGAAATCTTCTTTCTAAATCAGAAATATTTTCTGTAGGTTTTACGTTAGCAGCCTGTATTAAACTTTCAGCCCAAGTTTCAATTGTCACAAATTTAATTTGTATTTTGGTGCATTTTTCTAATTAAAATGGCTTTTTCTATGCAAGGAAAAATAAAACCTGCCCAAAATGGTATAAATCTATTTCTAACTGGGTAACAGTAAAGCATCAGACATCCCCTAAGTGCACAGTGAACAGGTGACATAAAAGTTTCTGACTGACCCTAGCCTGAGACAAGATGGCGGCTGCCTGGGCCTCCTGTGCAGAGACAACGGGACCCTTATCGCCGCCGCCCTGCCCAAAACGGAACTGCAAAGAAAGGAAGAAAAACAGAAGATATGAAGCAGATCCGTGTGTCGAATCGGAGAAAATATAACTGAACAACAAAAACTAACAAACAGAACCCAAAATGTCTTTGTAAGATGTAGCTGATTGACCAAATTGTTTGGTTGAGCGACCATAATGAAAATTCCATATATCAGTCCGAGTTAAACACAAAACGACTAAATCTAGTGAAAATGCAGAATCACACCCATGATCAAAAGGTACAAGTGACTCACAGGAAGCATGACTGAGGTTCCAGGAGGTCCAGGGACTCCATCAGCCCCAGGCAGACCAGCTTTACCAGGAGGACCCTGCAGGGTGAAGAGGATTGATGAAGCTGACAGAAGTGCAGAAAAAGCTCTAAAATAGCAGTAATTACACATTCCTCAGAACTACTGGTGCACAAATCTGCCCTGAATAGAATAAAGAAGAAAATATTACTTACCCTCTCTCCAGGATCTCCCACAGAACCAGGAGGTCCAGATGATCCAGGAGGTCCAGACGGTCCCTTGAAAAGGAAGTGTAGGATTTGTATATTTTTCAGCAGAGTAGAAGTGCAACTTAAAAATACCAGTTGAAATGAGGAAAATCATAAGGTCTAATAATTTTCATAAAGACTAAATAAATATGACGGACTTACTGCAGGCCCTTCAGGCCCTGGGGGACCTTCTATTAACATGCCCTAAAATGGACAAAATAAATAAAACAACTGAGAATTAAAAAAAGAAAGAAAACAGAATGCACCTTGCAGAAATTTAATAATAGGAAATAATGTAAAATATAAACACAATAAAACAGAATACTTCTCAAATATGAGCAGAATAAATAACTGGCCAAAAACCTTGGAGTCTTTCTCCAATTTTAACTTCTAATTATTGGCTCCTTTAAAAACCCAGAATTCATATCTTATGATGGGGTAAAGTTTTCATCATTTTACAAAATCAGACCCTCTAAATAAAAAGCTCAAGAGAATTTGCGACTCACAGGCTCCAAAACAGCAGGTTCTCCCTTTTCTCCTTTCTGGCCTCTAAAGGCGGCCTGAGGGAAAACACAAGTACCCAGGAACATAGTTATGTCATTATAAACATACTTACACAGGAAACTGCAAAGCAAAACAAAAGTCTAGTTCATTAAAATATACAACAGGCACCAAGAAAATAAACTAAAACGTTTCCTGTATTATAGTAAAAGAACAAATTTACAACCTGTGTTGTTGTGAAAGGCATGAAAGCCTTCCTTCAAACATCATTGACTATTATGTTTTCCACCGAGCGGGTCCATTACTTTTCAACACTTATTGCATGAAAAAGCTTAGCAATAACAATAAAAAGCCATACACTGAGAAAATGACATTATTGACAGTTTTACTTAAAAATGCCTTTTTTTTAGTGTATGTGAGAGATACTGCTTACATTTATTAGTATTCCCAACAGCTTTTACTTTAGTAACAGCTAAAGCATTATTGTCATTGAAAAAGTCAGTTTCAACCACTAACACACCTTCAAGGTCTTGAATTGCATTCAAATATGTGTTCCTCTTTGACTGATTGAGCTTGCCGTAGTAACAACTGAAATTTAAAGTTGAACATTTTTAGCTTAAAAAGCAAATTTTATTTAGTAAAATTTAACTAGAGCAATATCGTATGGACATCGGGGACAGTTCAACTGGATTGGCAGACCGGGGTGGTGGTCCCTCTATTTAACCATCCCACTGTCCTAATGGGTATGACCCCGCGAGGAAAGTTGACCAATGAGCAGGAGTGAGCACCACCTCACCCCCGTCACGTGGACCTCAAGGGATAAACCATCAATCCTGCCCAATGGTCAACTTTCCTCGCGAGGTCACCCATAAAGACAGTGGGAGGGTTTAAAATGGGGACCGCAGAATGTGTTCCAACTACAGAGGGAGGAGCAATATGGTTTCCATTCTGGCTTTGGAACACTGGACCGGCTCTTTACCCTTAGGGCGTCCTGGAGGGTGTGTGGGAGTTTTCCCAACTAATCTACAAGTGTTTTGTGGATTTGAAGGTGTTCGACCGCGTACCTTGGGGGGGCCCTGTGGGGGGTACTTTCGGAGTATGGGGTACAAGGCCCTCTGATACGAGCGGTTAGGTCCCTGCATGACTGGTGTCAGAGCTTGGTACGCATTTCCCACAGTGTCAGGCTCGTTTTCCGTGAGAGTTGGACTCCGCCAAGGCTGCCCTTTGTCACCGATTCTGAAGCTCTTGATTTACTAGTTGATCTACGTTCCTACCCTCATCTATGTTCACAAGCTTTGGGTAGTGACCTAAAGAATGAGACTGCAGATACGAGCGGCCAAAATGAGTTATTTCCACAGTGTCTGGGCTCTCCCATAGAGATAGGGCGAGAAGCTCGGTCATCCGGAAGGGGCTCAGCGGTGTAGACCCGCTGCTCCTCCACATCACGAGTAGCCAGTTGAGGTGGCTCGGGCATCTGGTTAGGATACCCTCTGGTGAGGTATTCCAGGTATGTCCAACTGGGAGAAGATTCAAGGGAACACCCAGGACACGCTTCAGGGACTATGTCTCTCGGCTGGTCAGGGAAGTCCTTGGGATTCCCTCGGAGCAGCTGGCCGAAGTTGCTAGGGAGGGGAAAGTCGGGGCCTCCCTGCCCCCGCGACCCAACCCCGGATAAGTGGACGATAGTGAACGATTAAACAAAGCTTGTTGACATTATCGCTACTATGGCAGGTTTTGGAAAGAGGGGGTGGGGGAACACAATTTAAAGGCAAGTGCGGTCTTGTTAACCACTACAAATAAGAATTTCTGTCTCATTAAAAAAAACTTAGTAAATTAAAGAAATATTTTCCTGTATTGAACTGTGACAGGTAAAAAAACTCATCATCTTGGAGGACACTGAAAACAATTTGTTGGTTGAAACTGATTTTTCTTTTTGCCTCAGCAGCAAAATGACTTACGCCTCCCTCATCCGTCACAGCGGACAAGGCGGGCCCCATGTAGGCATCGACCTCTCCGGTCTCTGGTAAGGGCTCATTGTAGTCTCTGTAGGCATAGTCGTATTCCTTAAGGCCCACATCTCCAGTCACATACTCCTCAGTGAAGACTTCTTCACCAACATCGCCCGCTTTGGTGGCATCTACCTCCTCTCCCACCAAGGCTGGTTCGACCTGGGGCTACGATGGGTTCAGTAAAGCCGCAATAGGAAGGATACAGAGGTCCGAAAAGGAAGAATTAAACAAGGGAAGAAAAGGATGGAAGAAGCAGTAAGGAGATGAGCAGGATGGAAAGATGTTAGTAAAAGAAGATGAACAGCAAAAACAAGAAGGTATGAAAGAAAGGAGCACATTCAAATAAATTAATCTTACCTTTTGCAAATATAATGTGACATTAGGACAAAAAAAGACATGTAGAGCTCAGAGATAGTGCCTAATGTTGATCCAGGCTGACTTTTTCAGATGTGTCCTGTCACTTTAAGTCTTATGTCAATTACTTAATATTCTCTAACAGCAGCAGGTTTTCACCAAAGCCTTTCATTATCGATCCATTCATATTTATTGATGAGTTTGAAAATAAAAGTACATTCTAATCAACTTAACTTAGGTTCTAGATATCACAGAAGAGATAACAACAAACTTTGTGAAAACGGGCTTCTTCTATCTGCTGTACCATGCAAAGCCAATAACGGTATCTTGCGTCTGTACTTACCATACACGGTATACTACAAATAAAAATCCATTGGGAATATATATTACATTTTCTCAAAAATAAACAGGCAGAATGTAGCACATTCAAAGCCTTTTGAACACAAACTTTTTAGTTTTTTCTTTTTATTTTTACCCGAGTAAACATAGCTAAACATTGTAGCATTAAAACTTAATATCAAAACAAATAAATCCAACAAACTAAAAAAATACAAACGTGCTTTATGTTGCAAATGAGCTGTCAGATACCCATCTTATTTCTAAACATAAATACAACAAAGTAACTCATTAACAACTGTACTCTGTTAAGTACTTTCAAACAAGAATGCATTATATTCATCTGCTTTTGTTTCTGTGGTTAAATATGAACATCAAATACTCACATGTGGACCTGTTTTCCGCAAGATTTTTGTTCTCATCTCAAGATGCCAACAATATCAACCAAGATTCTTGAGATGAGAACAAACAGCAAATCTTGTTAGAGAAAAAGAGAACCACATAAAAATATCTGATGATAAACGCAGATGAATGTGGTACATTCTTTTTTAAAACACCTTTTCTCTCACATCTTGTTACAAGGCATCGGTGCCTTTAACAGATTAGTGTGTGTTAGAAGAGTAAAGAGGAACAGAGGTATTACTACTTTGTTAACTACTTAAGACTGGGTTCACAGTCATACAGGTACACCGTTTTCATTTGATTCAGTTGGTTCAGTTGTATTGGTTAACTTTAGAGATCCTGGATTTTACTAACCTAATCCTATCTTATTCTCTAAGATATGTAGAAGCTAGATTTGATGTGTGTCCGTTTCTTTTTACCTGTACAGGTATTTCTTCTTGTCCAACCACCTCACCGTCTGGCTGTGGGACCATCTCTTCATAGTAATAATCAGTCTCTGTAGGGGTGTGGCCAGCCTCAGAATATTCTGTGTCTACATCCTGATTGGTCAGGTAGACAGGAAGTGGTGAGCAGGGAGGAAGTAAGCAGATTTGATTGAGAGCAGGGTTAGTTTATAATCTGCTTGTAAATCATGAGTAAAAAAGAAGAAATTGGAAAGCAAAATAAAATTGTGATCGCCAGACAGACACATTTTTGTTTCACTGGCAACTCACAATTTTAAACCTGTAAAAATTAATTTTAGAAAAGAAATTTCAATTAGGCTTGGATTGAATTATCAATGACTTTAAAATTTGCCAGATGCAGAATTTTAACAGTTATTGACTTTTCTTATCTGAAATTTCTTTTCATGCTTTTGTTAAACCATTTTCACTGTTTTAAACTCACAAGCCAAGTTTCCAAAAAGGGTAAATATCCATCCCTTAAGATGGAAACATTACAGCTTGATGCTTCAGCATGTTTAGTTTCATCCATTGAAGACCAAATAACACAGAAACCAACAGCCTCACAGAACATTAACCAGCAACACATTTAACTTTATCAACTCCTGAACATGGACACATTTTTCCACCTTAAAAAAAAAGAGGTCAAACTATGTAGTGTCATAAAGTTAGACTCAAAAGTTCTCTAGATTCTGTGAAGCTGTTTTTAAGAAAGACGTTTCTTAACCATAGAAATCCATGCTCATTTGTTTGACCATTACTTTAACTGTTTCCATAAAGAAGAAAAACGGAGTCCTCTAGCTGCTCAGGTTTTAAGATCCAGTTTTAGTATGAGATCAAGTAAAGAACAGTGAAGCCATGCTTCAATGTGCACCGCTGGATCATATCATACAAAGAAGTTGGGAAGGTTGTCAGAATGATATGATATATGGAAAGATGAGAACGCAGTCAGCTTGTTAGCCTGATTTGAACCAACTTCCAATCTGACATCCAACTTGTGCATCATCAAAATGTGCATGGCTGTCGACCTAAAGCAGGATCAACTAGTCATGAAACACGACAAAAATAAAGAGGCATATAAAGATTTTACTTTGATGATGGTCAAGGCTGATAAACAGACTGGGAAGACGGGACAAACATCTCTGGACATGTTGACCCAAACATGAATCTTCATGTTGTACCTGTTGGGGAATGTCGGTTCTCTTAGCTGGGACCGAAGCTCCCCGCAGTGCAGTCTCACCAAACGGTGGGAAAGGTCTGTGGTGGGACTTAACGTTGTTGTCCATGTCCTTGAACTTTGTGGGTCTGAGCAGCGTAGGTCGAACAGGGGCACGTGTTGGAGCTTCTTTTGTTGGGACAGAAAACTTTTTGGTTGTTGGTTTGATCGGAGGGACTTTGTTGAACACACTTTTAGCTATTGTCTTCTCTTTCAGCTCTGCTTTTTCTTCGATGTTTGCTTTTGGAGATTTGGTGGCAGAAACCTTTGTAGGTTCTGGTTTTGTTATTTTTGTGGGTTTCGGTGCTTTAGTAGCGACTACATTAACAGCTGACTTGGCCGTGCTATCTACAGAGTTCGTTTTTGTAGTGGTTTCACTTTTTGCCTTATTTCCAGCCACTTTGCTAACATCTTTCTTTTTGGCTTCTGAAGAAACTTTGTTGTTCCCATTTGCTTTTGCTGCACCATTGACTTTATTTTCAGCTTTGCCATTGACTTCAGTGGTAGATTTGCCATTTCCATTGGCTTTCTTTGTTGTAGTTTTACCTCCGCCATTTCCATTCACCTTAGACCCAACCGTAGCTTTTCCATTTCCATTGGTTTTCTTCTCGGCAGAGGCTTTTCCATTAACTTTTGTTTCACCTACAAGCTTCCCATTTTTGGCCTCAGTTTTGGCATTGCCATTACCTTTAGATGCACCACTGGGTTTCTTTGGAGAAGCTGTTTTACCATTGCCATTCTTAACTGGGACAGCTGTGGTTTTGGCTTTAGTTGCTGTTGTTGGTTTGATCTTTGACAAGAAGATGCCTGCAGCAGTGGGTTTAGCTTTGGATGGCTTAGCTGTAGAGGACTTGATAGCTTTGGTGGGCATGGGTGGCTTGACGACCAGTTTGTAAGGTCCAGACTTGGCTGACTTAGCTGGAGTGGGTTTAGTTGATTTAGTGGGAGCTGCTTTCCCACTGGGTGCCTTCTTCTAATATCCACGATTATAATGTTTAGTATGAAGAAGTGCATAGACAAAAAACATAGAGAGGGTAGAAAATGACAAAGATACACAGAGGGATTGGGAGGGAGATGAAAAGCACAAACAAGGGATTGACAGAAAGAGAAAAAGACAAGAGTGGATGTTTTGAGACACAGTGACATAAAGATGGCTAAGGCTTGGACGATTTGCTGAGACTGTGCAGGCATTACTGGATACAGCAGACGATCAGGTTTTAAAATACATCTAAAATAAACAATATTATGAAAAACAAACCTATAATGCACAATAAACAATACAATTTCATTACTTTGACTTAAGTTCTAAACTGGTATTTTTGCTGTTCTCTCCAGTAATGCCATTCCCACTGTCACATGATAAAGCAGCATCTTTGTTCAGTTAGGAACTGGGCACCATGGTTTAGTAGAGGCACTGAGGATGTGAATGGTCAGGTAAAGGTGGCTGTTTAACACACACACACACACACACTAGCCACACAACACAAAAAGCTCACACATTATTCACCTGTTGGGTAATAAAGCATGAAACAGTTGAACTGGAAAACAGAAAAGGTTCCAGCTTTTCAGCCATGCAAAAGAAACAACTCAGAAGACATGCAAACACGTGCTTTATAAAATGATAAAATGTGGGATAAAAGACCATACACAGGTATTTTTTGTAAATCATGCCACTACTAATAAAAAGATATTATAGTTTAAGATCTAAACAAGCTTTCAAGGTGAACTTACGACCCATAGATGTAATACAGCACCAATGGATTTTTAAACTAGTATATAAGCATTCACAGTCCATCATACAAACCTTTGATGTAAAACTAGGCATTGAATATATCTCTATTTTGAAATCTATGAAAAAGATAATCAGATGATGCAAAACTAAAGTAAGTGCATGCGGTGTTCTTAAATCTCCGTCACAAACATGCAAGTAGCAGGACAATAAGGATCCTTCATTAAACAATCGTGCAAAATTAAGAACCCAAACAGAATAAGTTTATTTTAAAATAACATGCAAGGAAAGCAAGTAAAATGTGTGAAACACCAGAAAGAATCAGAAAACCAAAAGTATTAGTGTCTTCTTGTGTGGTTATGAAATTATATTTATGTATAATGTAAAAGGAAGATCAAATAACTCAGGTTTTCTAAACTTAGTTGTATTTGCATATTCTCTTTTTATATTACATTATATGATGGAAACTTTAATTATATTTTCTCAGAAATTAATTTTCAAAGACTTTTAGTTTAGGTCTAAATTGTAAAAGAACAAAATAAAATGGACAAATTACTTCTACAAGAGGGAGTAATAAAAAAACGTAGAAAATGTGTGTGTGTGTGTGTGTGTGTGTGTGTGTGTGTGTGTGTGTGTGTGTGTGTGTGTGTGTGTGTGAGACACAGCTGGACCTTCAGTTCCCCAGTGCCCTCACATGGCCACGTGTGAACACACATACATAAAAGACAACATGTGGATGACATAAGGACAAAAATATCACAAGGCGCAAAAGTAATCCTGTGTGACACAAGTAGATGAAATAAGGCGAATGTGTAGGAGATCATTCTTAATGAGGAAATGAGACATTAAATAAAAGGGAAGTATGAAGTGATGAGAGGCTTTCAGAAGTTAAATTTAAACAACTTTTATAAACATTTCCAAAGAATTTTTTTCAGCAATTATGATAACTTGAATTATATTTAAATGATCAGAATGTGTTTTTGTTTGAATGCTCCTCTCATTCTCTCATTGCCCTTCCCTTCCACAAACCCAACTAGTGTCTTCCCTCTCTCTTGCTCCCACTTTACCTGCTGCTTGTGGTCCCCAGGTTGGGGAGAGGGGGATGAAGATGAGGAGGGAAGGCCTGTGGTTTCCTCATAATAATATGGATATTCATGGTCATCCTGCTCCTCATCAAAGTACCAAAAAGAAAGAAAAGGTGGAGGTTTTGTTTGGTTGTAAGCAAACAACCAAAGCAGTGGGTTGAATGGGGCAGGAGGATTCATGAAAGCAGGTGAAAAGCAGAAAGAATGAGAGACTGCAAAGGCCAAAGGTAAAAGACCAAAGTCATGTGTTGAAAGACTGCACCAGACAGCAAAATAGACAGACACAAATTAAAGCTGTAATTTCTCAGTTCATCAGAGTCTGCACAAGTAGCTTATAGGTGTTGACAAAAAGATGTCAGCAGAAAATCAACCCTGATGAAAGAGAAAATCATAAACAAACAAAGCCAATGAATATAACCACACTAACTTATATTCATTCAAGAAGCAGTCATCTCAACAGATTCAACATGACAGAGTAAGAGTCCTCTAGCAACCAAACGTTTATACTGGGTGTTTCTCAATGTCAAGGCGCCTGGCCTTGCGAGGCGATGTCTTGCGAGGGCAGGCGCCTTACTTACGAGAACGCCGTCCTTCCTTGGTCAACGAAAACGGTTAAATGGAACACAGTGTTTCCCTTACATAGGCGTAGCCGTGGCAGCCTGCCATGGTTGAAATCCCAGCGCCACGCCTACAAGATCCCAAGTTTTATTGATTTTATCTTTTTTTGCGCTGTTTCCCGAAGAAGCAGCGGCAACTACTCTGTTTTTGCTTGTGATCACAGCCGGCAGGCAGCAAGGAGGAGGAGGCAGGGCAGGGTGGTTACAGCTAGGGATGAGCCGGATACGGTATGCTCTAAGTGTTTTTCTCCCCAGAAGAAGCTACAGTGATGTTCTACTGAGCTGTGGTGGCCTCATGGAGGAGGCCATCGTCTAGCACACTGCTGCTAACCACTTAAACATTCTCCCTCTCCTGATAATAACTTTATGCTTTCCTTGACGTTGGATGTGCTACTACTAGTTTACCCGCTTAATTATAGATTCACTAGGATAAATACAATAAAGTTTATCTCTCACCAAGTAGAATATTTACTAAGAAATCACAATGTAACCACAGACACATTGTTTGGTGTGTGTGTGTGTGTGTGTGTGTGTGTGTGTGTGTGTGTGTGTGTGTGTGTGTGTGTGTGCGCGCGCGCGCGCTCTGTCTTCTCGATCCCCAGTGAGTCGTGGTGGATGGCTGCTTATACTGAGCCAGGATTCTCTGGAGATTTCTTCCTGTTAAAAGGGAGTTTTCCTCTCCACTGTCGCTATATGCTTGCTTAGTATGAGGATTGCTGTGAAGTCACTGACACTAGTCAGTGACTTGATGCAATTTGCTGGGTTCCTTATATAGGAAACATTTTTTCTGATTGGCTTAATGAACTGACCTGGATTGGAATGTTTATTATGTGAAGTGCCTTGAGACGACTCTTGTCGTGATTTGGCGCTATATAAATAAAATTGAATTGAATTGAATTGAATAAAGCATTTTTGACGAATACGAGCATTAAACAAGTAAAACTCGTAAAAATCTGTAACCGTGCTGAAGGAAAATCCTGATTGGGTAACTGACGGTCTTCACGCTCTGTGTTTGGCCAGTCACATCGAGCGCCCGCCACGCACGCACACAGACAACGGATCTCTCTGCGCTTGCTTCACTGTTGCACACGTTTCTTCAGAACTCCCTAGGTTTTCTTCAGCTCGCCTCTTTTTCGGTTGAATATTTAAAGCTACTTTTTTTTTGTAACGTACGTGGTGCATTTGACAAGACAGAGCTAAAAACGGATTGTGTCGCGTCAGTCACTGCCTCCGCTACGGTCGGGTTTTTTAAATTTTTACTCTCTCTCTCTCTATCTCTCTTACACACACACACACACACACACACACACACACACACACACACACACACACACACACACACACACACACACACCTTAATAAACATTGTTTTGTTTAACTGTGTGTGGGAAAAATGCCAACAACGTTAGGAAAAAATTCTGTTTAATCAAATTAAAATAAAAACAAAATTAAAAAGTTGTGTCTGGTTCTAGTATTTCATATTTCCTAGTTCCTACTGCATGAGTTCAGATGTATTAATTCATGCACTTAAATATTAATGTTCTTATTTAATTGAAAAACTTGTTCTGTAATAGTTCCTTTACTATTGTGATAAAAATGTTTAATCTCAATTCTGAGGCTGCTCTGTAAACTCTGTAAATAGTTTTCAAATAAACAATAGCTTATAAATAAACAACTTCTGATCAATCCATATCAATTTCAGATTTTAAATAATGTATTGATGTAAACCACACCCACTAATTTCCAAATTATAAATAGGAGGTGCATTCATCGATGTCCTTTGATCCGCATTAGTGATATTTTCAGCACCAGAACAGTGAAGCAAAGAAACAGATTCCTGAGTTTGTTAGTAATTTTATTTATTAGGTGCATCTGACCTGTTCTGTTTTTCTCTGAAATGAGATCAAATCAGTGCTTCTATGGGTCTCCTCTCTGCACTAGAAAAATGTACTTTATTACAATGTTCACTGTAAAGCATGTTGATGTTCTTAACAAATAAATTAAATCAAAAATATTGGTCAATAATGCCAAATATGTAAATTTGTGTTTCAGTCATTTTTATACTGGCTTAAAAATACTTCATTAAGTCTACTAAGCATGGGTGTAGAAGGTTTTTAAGAGGGCCAGCCCAGTAATGATCTTGGACCAAAATAAAGGGGGCAGAAAGTCAAATAAAGGGGGCAGAAGGAGATGTTTTTCCCAACGCCAAGAAAAATTAAATGCCAAATCCCCCCTGCAAAGTGTGTCACAGAGTTTAAAACAAAAATTATTCTTGTGCAAATATTGGTGTATTCACCTTTAAAACTAGTTATTAAAATGCAGCAGTTGCTGGATTGGTGCAGTTCAAAGTGGAGTGTGCATCAAATAAAACAATATTAACATAAAGGTGAGACGTGTCATAATTTCACCCCTCCCACCACACACACACACACACACACACACACACACACACACACACACACACACACACACACACACACACACCTTAATAAACATTGTTTTGTTTAACTGTGTGTGGGAAAAATGCCAACAACGTTAGGAAAAAATTCTGTTTAATCAAATTAAAATAAAATTTTAATTTTAATAAAATAAAAATTTTGGGACATGGAACGTCACCTCGCTGGCGGGGAAGGAGCCGGAGCTTGTGGCAGAGGTTGAGCGGTACCGGCTAGATATAGTCGGACTCACCTCAACACATTGCATTGGCTCTGGAACCCGAGACCTGGAGAGGGGTTGGACACTCTACTTTGCTGGAGTTGCTCCGGGTGAGAGGCGGAGGGCTGGGGTTGGCTTTTTGTTAGCCCCGAGACTCTCTGCCTGTGTGTTGGGGTTTACCCCGGGGGACAAGAGGGTAGCTTCCTTGCGCCTTCGGGTCGGGGAATGGGTCCTGACTGTTGTTTGTGCTTATGGGCCAAATATCAGTTCAGAGTACCCACCCTTTTTGGAGTCCCTGGGACGAGTGCTAGATAGTGCTCCATCAGGGGACTCCATTGTCCTGCTGGGGGACTTCAATGCTCACGTGGGCAATGACAGCTTGACCTGGAGGGGTGTGATTGGGAGGAACGGCCCACCTAATCTGAACTCGAGCGGTGTTTTGTTATTGGACTTCTGTGCAAGCCGCAGTTTGGCCATAACGAACACCATGTTCGAACATAAGGATGCCCACCGGTACACTTGGTACCAGGGCAGCCTAGGTCACAGGTCGATGATAGATTTTGTAGTCGTATCATCTGACCTGCGGCCGTATGTTTTGGACACCCGAGTGAAGAGAGGGGCGGAGCTGTCAACTGATCACCACCTGGTGGTGAGTTGGATCAGATGGCAAGGGAACATGCCGCGTAGACCTGGCAGACCCAAACGCATAGTGAGGGTCTGCTGGGAACGCCTGGCAGAAGAACCTGTCAAGACGGTCTTCAACTCCCACCTCCGGCAGAGCTTTGACCACGTCCCGAGAGCAGTGGGGGACATTGAGTCCGAGTGGGCCTTGTTCCACTCTGCGATTGTCGAGGCGGCTGTTGCTAGCTGTGGTCGTAAGGTGGCCGGTGCCAGTCGTGGTGGCAACCCCCGTACCCGCTGGTGGACACCAGAGGTTCGGGGAGCCGTCAGGCTGAAGAAGGAGGCCTACAGGGCATGGCTGGTCTGTGGGTCTCCGGAGGCAGCAGACAGGTACTGGATAGCCAAGCGGGGTGCAGCAGTGGCAGTTGCCGAGGCAAAATCTCGGGCGTGGGAGGAGTTTGGTGAGGCCATGGAGAAAGACTATCGATCGGCTCCAAAGAGGTTCTGGCAAACTGTCCGGCGCCTCAGGAGAGGAAGGCAGCAACTCGCTCACACTGTTTACAGTGGGGATGGGGAGCTGCTGACGTCAACTGAGGCTATAGTCGGACGGTGGAAGGAATACTTTGAGGAGCTCCTCAATCCCACCAATGCGCATTCCGAGGAGGAACCAGAGCTGGGAGGCCTGGGGATGGACTGTCCGATCTCGGGGGCAGAAGTTGCTGAGGTAGTCAAACAACTACACAGCGGCGGAGCCCCGGGGGCGGATGAGGTTCGTCCTGGGTATCTCAAGGCTATGGATGTTGTAGGGCTGTCATGGTTGACACGTCTCTACAACATTGCGTGGTCATCGGGGGCAGTTCCTAGGGAGTGGCAGACCGGGGTGGTGGTCCCCATCTTTAAGAAGGGTGACCTGAGGGTGTGTTCCAACTATAGGGGGATCACACTCCTCAGCCTCCCTGGAAAGGTCTACGCCAAGGTACTGGAGAGGAGGGTCCGATCGATAGTTGAATCTCAGATAGAGGAGGAGCAATGTGGTTTTCGTCCTGGCCGTGGAACTGTGGACCAGCTCTATACCCTTGCAAGGGTGATGGAGGGGGCATGGGAGTTTGCCCAACCAATCCACATGTGCTTTGTGGATTTGGAGAAGGCTTATGACCGTGTCCCCAGGGGCACCCTGTGGGGGACGCTCCAGGAGTATGGGGTGGGTGGCTTTCTGTTAAGGGCCATTCAGTCCCTTTACCAGAGGAGCGTGAGTTTGGTCCGCATAGCCGGTAGTAAGTCGGACCTGTTCCCAGTGAGGGTTGGACTCCGCCAGGGCTGCCCTTTGTCACCGGTTCTGTTCATCACTTTTATGGACAGAATTTCTAGACGCAGCCGTGGTGTGGAGTGTGTCGAGTTTGGTGGCAGGAGAATCTCGTCTCTGCTTTTTGCGGATGATGTGGTCCTCCTAGCTTCATCCAGCTCTGACCTTCAGCTCTTGCTGGGTAGGTTCGCGGCCGAATGTGAAGCGGCTGGGATGAGGATCAGCACCTCCAAATCTGAGACCATGGTTCTCGACCGGAAAAGGGTGGCTTGCCACCTCCGGGTCGGGGGAGAGGTCCTACCTCAAGTGGAGGAGTTTACGTATCTCGGGGTCTTGTTCACGAGTGAGGGTAGGAGGGATCGGGAGATCGACAGGCGGATTGGTTCGGCGTCTGCAGTGATGCGGACGCTGAGCCGATCTGTCGTGGGGAAGAGGGAGCTGAGCCAGAAAGCCAGGCTCTCAATTTACCGGTCGATCTACGTCCCAATCCTCACCTATGGTCATGAGCTTTGGGTAATGACCGAAAGAACGAGATCGCGGATACAAGCGGCCGAAATGAGTTTCCTCCGTAGGGTGGCCGGGCTCAGCCTTAGAGATAGGGTGAGGAGCTCGGACATTCGGGAGGGACTCGGAGTAGAACCGCTGCTCCTCCGGATCGAAAGGAGCCAGTTGAGGTGGTTTGGGCATCTGGTCAGGATGCCTCCTGGACGCCTCCCCGGGGAGGTGTTTCGGGCATGTCCTGCCGGCAGAAGGCCCCCGGGTCGACCCAGGACACGTTGGAGAGGTTACATCTCCAATCTGATCCGGGAACGCCTTGGGGTCCTGCCGGAGGAGCTGGTGGACAAGGCCGGGGAGAGGACGGCCTGGAGCTCCCTAATTGGGATGCTGCCCCCGCGACCCGGACCCGGATAAGCGGAGGAAGACGAAGACGAAGACAAATTAAAATAAAAACAAAATTAAAAAGTTGTGTCTGGTTCTAGTATTTCATATTTCCTAGTTCCTACTGCATGAGTTCAGATGTATTAATTCATGCACTTAAATATTAATGTTCTTATTTAATTGAAAAACTTGTTCTGTAATAGTTCCTTTACTATTGTGATAAAAATGTTTAATCTCAATTCTGAGGCTGCTCTGTAAACTCTGTAAATAGTTTTCAAACAAACAATAGCTTATAAATAAACAACTTCTGATCAATCCATATCAATTTCAGATTTAAAATAATGTATTGATGTAAACCACACCCACTAATTTCCAAATTATAAATGAGAGGTGCATTCATCGGTGTATGTCCTTTGATCCGCATTAGTGATATTTTCAGCACCAGAACAGTGAAGCAAAGAAACAGATTCCTGAGTTTGTTAGTAATTTTATTTATTAGGTGCATCTGACCTGTTCTGTTTTTCTCTGAAATGAGATCAAATCAGTGCTTCTATGGGTTGTTTCCTCTCTGCACTAGAAAAATGTACTTTATTACAATGTTCACTGTAATGCAAGTTGATGTTCTTAACAAATAAATTAAATCAAAAATATTGGTCAATAATGCCAAATATGTAAATTTGTGTTTCAGTCATTTTTATACTGGCTTAAAAATACTTCATTAAGTCTACTAAGCATGGGTGTAGAAGGTTTTTAAGAGGGCCAGCCCAGTAATGATCTTGGACCAAAATAAAGGGGGCAGAAAGTCAAATAAAGGGGGCAGAAGGAGATGTTTTTCCCAACGCCAAGAAAAATTAAATGCCAAATCCCCCCTGCAAAGTGTGTCACAGAGTTTAAAACAAAAATTATTCTTGTGCAAATATTGGTGTATTCACCTTTAATACTAGTTATTAAAATGCAGCAGTTGCTGGATTGGTGCAGTTCAAAGTGGAGTGCATCAAATAAAACAATATTAACATAAAGGTGAGACGTGTCATAATTTCACCCCTCCCACCACCACCACCACAGCTGGAAAAATTCCTAGGGGAAAGACTAGAAAAGACTTGCATCACGTGACCGCTGCTTCCACAGCGGTCACGTAAAGTCACGTGACACGGGAGATTACGTTATATTTTATACGTATTAGTTTCAATATGAATATATAACGAACCTTTTACTTTTTAAATTGTGAATATATTTGTTAAATTAAAAATATAAGTGAGTTACTACCCGCTAGCCACCGAAGCTGCAACTACTAAGCAACTAACCAACCATAGATAACTTCTTTGGATCTAAAAAAAAACATTTTAAATTAGCGGACTTACTTTTAAATTTGAAAATTGTCCCTGAAGTAGCTGCCGGCTTCTGGTCCGCCGTCTTTTTGAAAATGCAGCGGTGTATTGTGGGCAATTTTTGACCAAGGCTAGGCTACAAGACACCTCCCGTGTATCCTGCTCAGCTAGCTAAACGGCTAACAAACGGAGAACACACGCCTCGGTAGAACATGAACATTGGAGCACGTCTTGGCGACCGTTGATCAAATCAAATCAAAGATACTTTATTAATCCCAGAGGGAAATTAGAGTGTCAGTACACACAGTTCAAAGAATTGGTGACTGTGGTAATTCGCAACCCTGAGTCGCGCTACCTTTCTATCTCCTAGGCAACCGGGGCGGGGCCAAAACATCAAGGCAAGATTCCTTGGCATTGAGAAACACCCACTGATTCAGACCAGGCATGCAAGCTTGGAAACATGTATTTTGAATGAATGAACGAATGAATGAATGCAGATGAAATTTATTTGTTTACATAAATCTGTGATAATGACGATGAGGAATGTCGACTCTGGGAAAAGCTTGCAAAGCCTATTATGCATGTGATGTGCACAACCAGTCTCAGAAGACCCCTCCTACATCAAACTTTAGCCAAATTTTATGTCACAACTTTACCAGAATAATCATCTGAATTTAATTTCCATAAATTATGTGTTCAGCTGGTTCTCTTCATTTCAATCTATCAGAATAAAACAAGGAGACGTTCATGTTTTATTGTATCATCCTTTTCCCCTACCTTTCTGTGTTCCATTGCAGTAGAGCGGGAAACAGTGACAGCTAGTCCACTACTGAAAGTGTGTATCGTGATTAAAATGTCCATTATAGTGGGAAAAGTTTTGTAAGGAACATGACTATCCGGCTTTTCTAAATATCAGGAGCAAGCTTGTTTATGTGCAATATTTCAGTGATTACACTCTCAGATGGTGTAATCACTGAAATATTGCACATAAATTCCCACTGCATCTAGCTCTGGCTCGATCTGCATCTATTTGAAGTAAACGATGAGCAACATAAGTTTATTCTAAATACCACAGGACACACAGATTGTGATGGTGAGGGGAAAATCGGATGGATACAACCTGTTGCTGCTGATGAGACGAGGATGCACGAGGAAGACAGAAAGGGTGAGCAGGACTTTGATGATGTTATCAGATGACCCAATCTGAGCCTGAGGACCTTTTAACCACCCTGTCCATCTGCTGAAGCTTTGTTACTAAATATAGTTAATGATAAATAAAAAATCTAAACAATTTTCCTTTAAAAAAGGTAAAAGGAAAACGGCTACATTACAAAGATGTTTTTTTTTTTTGTAATGGGAAACGTGAGAAAAAACCACTGGACCACACCACCAGTGGCAAAAAAGTGAATAGGTCTACGCTGTTGGGTGGCCTCTGGTATTTTGTTGGACTTCCAACTTATTCTAAATATTTCTCTTCTTTTTTTCCCCTGATCTTCCCTGGGGCCACACTGGGGGCATCAGCGGCGCTGAACAGCAGCAGAACGTTGCAAATTCAAATATAATCCATACAGTCTATGGGTTTGATCCAAACTGGCAATGGCACCCAACTTTTCAGGTGGTGGTGTGCTGCTAAATACATGACAGGGTTATATTTTAGCCGTGGGCCGCTTTTTGGGATGCGTCAATTTCAGCAAATAACACAGGGCTAGACAGGAATTCACACTTGGTATCAGTGTAATACGTCCGGTAATTTTCAAAATAAAAGTCTATTGCAGAGATGTGCTTTCTTATCTATGTAGATAAGATAACATCTATACGTGTGATCTCACGGCTTATTTAGTCCCAGTATCTTTCAAGAAGTGCAACAGCGTGTTTTTCTTCATGGATGTGATGTCCATTTTCCTCTTCCTGCTTTAATGGTGAATTAAGTCTTGAGGGATTTGATGACTTCACAAGTCCAGCAAGGAGGACGTTAGAGATGCTGCATCGCTTGCAGTGTGGATTAACGCACCTAGTAAAAAAAAACGTCTTGCTGCAGTTTTGTGCCGCTGATGCCCCCGGTGTGGACCCAGGGTTACGCTACAAAATCGGCCATTTATTTTCAAGGGAAAAAGGTTTATTAAAAAAAATCCAATCTAGATGCAGTTAATTTTTGTCCTTACATTACTTTGTCATTCAAGTCTATGGAGAACATGACCCTTGTAAATAAAGTCCCCAGACTCTTATTGGGTCAGCTTTACTGGAGCTATAAATTAGCCTAAAATTAAAAGTGTACAGCGTACAATATCTGTCTGAGGATTTTTACTTTAGGTCAAATTACTCATTTGTCTAGCTAGTTCTAATTAGATTTCCATGTGGCTGTGTGACGTTTTGTAACTACATAAATGTCGATCGAATTTGGGAAGAATAATGGTTATTCGAGCTATTCTACCTTGGTGAAACTTATATTTGCATGGACTTGTTCTGTGGTGTTACTCACGTATGTGTTTGGGTCCTGAGCCTGGGTCTTGGGAAGAGGGGAGTCACAGTCAGGACTGTAGTGTTCACAGAAGTCATAGGCCGCCTGAGGGTTGGAGGCAATTAACAGCTGCTGGATGTCTCCCTGTAAAACAAACAAAAACAATTATAATTTATTGATGATCTCAGACTCAACAGAAATGTTTAATCTTTGTAGAACCAGTGGAAGTGCTTTCAGTCACCTAACAATAAGGTTTACTTTCTCAAGATTCTGACCTGGAAAACCTCCTCATCAAGCAGACGAGCTCCAAACACTGTGATGCCATTGGTGTCAATCACAGCATTGTTGCCCCGGGGAAGAGGACGGGTCATCTTCTTCTTGCAGTCCAACAGCAGAGTCACGTTTTTCTTGGAAACGGAGAAGGCAATGCGATGCCACCTAGTGACAGAAGAAGAATCCGTGAGCAAACATTTATGTCAAATAAAGAATAAAGAAACCAACCATCTCCTACATCATGCAGATCATACTATTCCTAACCACCACCACCCACATAACCACAAATAACTCCTCTCAATCAGTCACAAACTGGTGTTGCTGGTTACTGACTTGCCATCAGCCAGGTTGATGCCTTTGAAAAGCGGGTAGTCCTCAGGAGCTGGCTTTCCATTCTGGTCTTCGTACAGAAAAACAGGCGAGCGTCCCATTTCAATGCCCAGTTGCTGAATGCCCTGCTCACTGTAGATAGAGAGGAGGAAAGCTTGGAGACCAGCCTGGGCCTTTATCAGAGCCATGATGGAGAAGTTCTCTGGGAAACGCCCTAAAGGTGGAAGGAAAGATAAAAAACTTAATAAATATTAGCAGAAAAGGTAGAAATGCCCCAATAAAAAGATTTAATAAATCATATAAATGTGCCCTTTAGAAAAAAGTGTGTTTAGATTACCCATACCCTGTGTATAAAATATAGTGGCTCTCTGGTGCTGTGAATAAGTGACTATAGTGAATACTTGAATAAGGGAAATAAAATAGAAAGAACTGATCAAAGATACAGGTAACATCTAAATGAGAAGTGATAGTTCACAAAAAAGTAGACAAGACACTAGGAGCTGTGTTTGGTGGCACCGCTGAAAATAAAGCAATGAGAGAAATTCACCCACACTAAAATGCATCAGAACGAATCAAGATGTGAGCTAATAATAACAGGCTGTACAAAAAAATAACAAACATAAAAAGAGCTGGAAATCATTTTGTACTTAAGAAGATTTTACTTAACATAAGTGAGGCTTTTTATTTTCTATTCACAAGTGCAGAATCACATAATTATCAAATTAACAAATCAGAACAAAGCACAAACTTTCTCTCTGAAATTTAAAAGGCTTCAAAATTAATTCAAAGCTAAGCTAGTTAGCAAGCTGCAATAATTACGTTTCACATTATAAAACAATCCAAATCAAATGTACGTTATTAATCCCAGAGGGAAATTAAGAGTATTCAAAATACTCTAGCCTCGAATTTATAAGCAAACCTTTGCTTCACAAAACAAACGTTCATCGTATCTTTCATCTAAATATATCATCATCATCAAAACTTACATGAATATATTAATGGGAGAAATCAGGACAAAGAAGGCGGAAAGTCGTTTAGCGATAGATAGCTAACATTAGCTGCTCGTTAGCTAGCTAGAAAGCATAAATGTTTGTATTCGCTACTATTTCCTGTCCTTTACTTAATATTACGCAGTTACTCACGGTAAAACAACAAAATAAATGTTAAAAAACCGCCAACTATCTATTATGACAAATATCTTGGCTTGTATCGGTGCCCATAAAAGCTAGCTTAGCCCTAGCCTGAAGTTGTCCTGAAGGTCACGTGCGCTTCCTCTGAAGTTCAACCAACGAATGAATGATTGAATGAATGAATGAGGCGTTTTGATAAGATGTTGGTTTTTCATAATTCTTCTTACAAAAAAGTAAAGCATTACTGCACGTCTTAATGTTTATAAATATTAAATAACTTTTATTTTGACTAAAAAAATTTTACTTAACAAAATTTCACATTTCAACTGGAATAGCCAGGTAATTTATGTGTTTTTCTATTTGTCATCCGTTCATATAAAGCATAAAGATTTGTTTCTATGACATTTTATGAGATTCACTACTTTTTCCACTATAAAAATAAAAATTCCAAAAAAAATTTACTATTAGAAAAAATGAAGAAAAAAAACATCAATTTAGTACCTCTTTTTGTGAAATCATGAAACCTATATTAAAACATGACTTAGTATATACAAATAAATATCTTTATTGTGAAGCAGTCACCTTAAATACTATGCATCAGTCTGAGAACTACCTGAGAAGAGCTGCTTGGTGGGGGCAGAGATCTGGGCCTTCTTGGTGATGCGGTAAGCATGATCAGGGCTGCTGGAGCGACGGGATGTGCAGAAGCCAGGGACTTTCTTCACACCCTCGGGGAGAGAGGGAACCTGCAGAGCCCGCAGCACATCAACTGGATCTGATAAAAGAGAAACAAGTGAAGAAATTAATTTTATTGCTAAATAAACAAACAATGAACACTTAATCAAATGTTATGTAGCTTAAACTTGACGTACAATTACAATTTCATACTTACCATTAAGCAAGCTATTTAGTAGTTTGATGAATAATGCAGCTATTGTTTCCAACAACTTTACAGCTCTACTGACCCTGCTTTTAATAAAGTTGATGTTAAATGTTTCAGCTGTACTAATGTGATACGGGATGTAGTATGGGAGGTGTTCACTGAACATTTAGGTAAACTATAAGAAAGGATGCTCTGTGCTGGAGGAGATGGGCAACAGTCCAACCACCATTTATGAGCGAGTGCACGGTGGGCACAGCAAAGCTCAGCTTCCATCTGAATGAAGACGATCTCGTCTGTTAGCAGCTGGGACGAGTGGCTGTTGATGTGATAAAGTACTGAGTCAAATTAATATTTATTTGGTATCACAGTCATGTTACTATTCATATGACATAAATATGGGATCTAAAATGTTGAAATCCACACAAACTCCAGTGATGCTCTAATATAACACTAATACAGAGTTAGACAGTGAGCCAGTCTATCATCCTGTCACACTCTAAACTAGTTTGCTTACCCACCTCCAGTCTGAGCTGCAGCCTCCTGACACACTTCAAATAAACAATACCGACTCTTTAAAAAAGACAAATTTTATTTACACACAAGTGCTGACATAAAACAAAACATGCATCTCAGAACTAACTTGAACACACATTCCCATATTAACGCTGTTTTTTAAATAATTGCTCATTCTAACATGAATAGTTTCATCAGTATCTCTTCATGGCTACTCTGCCCTGCTGTCTAGGAACATCACTAATAACTAAAGCAAAATCAACAAAGGTTTAAAAACCAAACACTGGCATGCATTACAAAAGTATAACTTAGGTCGTCGTCGTCTTCCTCCGCTTATCCGGGTCCGGGTCGCGGGGGCAGCATCCCAACTAGGGAGCTCCAGACCGTCCTCTCCCCGGCCTTCTCCACCAGCTCCTCCGGCAGGACCCCAAGGCGTTCCCGGACCAGATTGGAGATGTAACCTCTCCAACGTGTCCTGGGTCGACCCGGGGGCCTCCTGCCGGCAGGACATGCCCGAAAAACTTCCCCAGGGAGGCATCCAGAAGGCATCCTGACCAGATACCCAAACCACCTCAACTGACTCCTTTCGATCCGGAGGAGCAGCGGTTCTACTCCGAGTCCCTCCCGAATGTCCAAGCTCCTCACCCTATCTCTAAGGCTGAGCCCGGCCACCCTACGGAGGAAACTCATTTTGGCCGCTTGTATTCGCGATCTCGTTCTTTCGGTCATTACCCAAAGCTCATGACCATAGGTGAGGATTGGGACGTAGATCGACCGGTAAATCGAGAGCCTGGCTTTCTGGCTCAGCTCCCTCTTCACCACGACAGATCGGCTCAGCGTCCGCATCACTGCAGACGCCGAACCAATCCGCCTGTCGATCTCCTGATCCCTCCTACCCTCACTCGTGAACAAGACCCCGAGATACTTAAACTCCTCCACTTGAGGTAGGACCTCTCCCCCGACCCGGAGGTGGCAAGCCACCCTTTTCCGGTCGAGAACCATGGTCTCAGATTTGGAGGTGCTGATCCTCATCCCAGCCGCTTCACATTCGGCCGCAAACCTACCCAGCAAGAGCTGAAGGTCAGAGCTGGATGAAGCTAGGAGGACCACATCATCCGCAAAAAGCAGAGACGAGATTCTCCTGCCACCAAACTCGACACACTCCACACCACGGCTGCGCCTAGAAATTCTGTCCATAAAGGTAATGAACAGAACCGGTGAAAAAGGGCAGCCCTGGCGGAGTCCAACCCTCACCGGGAACAGGTCCGACTTACTACCGGCTATGCGGACCAAACTCACGCTCCTCTGGTAAAGGGACTGAATGGCCCTTAACAGAAAGCCACCCACCCCATACTCCTGGAGCGTCCCCCACAGGGTGCCCCTGGGGACACGGTCATAAGCCTTCTCCAAATCCACAAAGCACATGTGGATTGGTTGGGCAAACTCCCATGCCCCCTCCATCACCCTTGCAAGGGTGTAGAGCTGGTCCACAGTTCCACGGCCAGGACGAAAACCACATTGCTCCTCCTCAATCTGAAATTCAACTATCGATCGGACCCTCCTCTCCAGTACCTTGGAGTAGACCTTTCCAGGGAGGCTGAGGAGTGCGATCCCCCTATAGTTGGAACACACCCTCAGGTCACCCGTCTTAAAGATGGGGACCACCACCCCGGTCTGCCACTCCACAGGAACTGCTCCCGATGACCACGCAATGTTGTAGAGACGTGTCAACCATGACAGCCCTACAACATCCATAGCCTTGAGATACCCAGGACAAACCTCATCTGCCCCCGGGGCTCCGCCGCTGTGTAGTTGTTTGACTACCTCAGCAACTTCTGCCCCCGAGAATGGACAGTCCATACCCAGGTCTCCCGGCTCTGGTTCCTCCTCGGAATGCGCGTAGGTGGGATTGAGGAGCTCCTCAAAGTATTCCTTCTATCGTCCGACTATAGCCCCAGTTGACGTCAGCAGCTCCCCATCCCCACTGTAAACAGTGTGAGCGAGTTGCTGCCTTCCTCTCCTGACAGTTTGCCAGAACCTCTTTGGAGCCGATCGATAGACTTTCTCCATGGCCTCACCAAACTCCTCCCACGCCCGAGATTTTTCCTCGGCAACTGCCACTGCTGCACCCCGCTTGGCTATCCGGTACCTGTCTGCTGCCTCAGGAGATCCACAGACCAGCCACGCCCTGTAGGCCTCCTTCTTCAGCCTGACGGCTCCCCGAACCTCTGGTGTCCACCAGCGAGCACGGGGGTTGCCACCACGACTGACACCGGCCACCTTGCAACCACAGCTAGCAACAGCCGCCTCAACAATCGCAGAGTGGAACAAGGCCCACTCGGATTCGATGACCCCCACTGCTCTTGGGACGCGGTCAACGCTCTGCCGGAGGTGGGAGTTGAAGACCGTCTTAACAGGTTCTTCTGCCAGGCGTTCCCAGCAGACCCTCACTATGCGTTTGGGTCTGCCAGGTCTACGCAGCATCTTCCCCTGCCATCTGATCCAACTCACCACCAGGTGGTCAGTTGACAGCTCCTCTCTTCACTTGAGTGTCCAAAACATACGGCCACAGGTCAGATGATACGACTACAAAGTCTATCATCAACCTGCGACCTAGGCTGCCCTGGTACCAAGTGTACCGATGGGCATCCTTATGTTCGAACATGGTGTTCGTTATGGGCA